GGGGCACAATTTCTCCTGTTATCTGAGAAATTATTTCTGATTTCATTTTTTCCAGATCCCCTTTTGTTGCCAGTTCAGTGGGTTCAGGTGGTTGAGTATCAGAGTGTTCCATCTCATTTCCCTTTCGGATTGCTGTAGGTGATCTGGAAGCCTGGCTTTGAGATTTATTTACTTGTTTTCTCATTTCGACTGAGGCGGGGGTCTGTTAGAGCCTGCACGGATTACCTCCTCTGAGCTGGGTGAGGTGGGACAGGGGCCGGGAGCAGAGGTAGGGATGGTGGCCCAAAAGCCCTTTCCTGTGGGCTGGGAGCAGCCGGAGGGATGGTGGCCGGGAAGCCCCTTCTTCTGGACCAGGAGCAGTGGGACAGTGGCTCAGAAGCCCCTACCTCTGGGCCTGGAGCAGCGGGACTCTGTACCTTGGTCTGGTGGTCTGATGTCTTCTGTGTCTTTGTAGTGTGGAACCAGGTGGCTGCCTGTCTGCAGTGGAGTGATTCGGCGTCTTCCGTGCGACTCGGGAGCTCGGTAGCACGTGCACGGACCTGCCTGTCTGCAGTGGGCTGATTCAGTGTCTTCTGTGGGACTAGGGACCTCGGTGGGACGTGGGGAGACCTACCTGTCTGCAGCAGGCTGATTCGGCATGTTCCATGCGACTCAGGACCTCAGTAGGGCGTGGGCAGACCTGCCTCTATTCTAGATATTAATCTATTCGTGGAATACCTAATAGAACTTTTTCCCATTCTGTTGGTTGTCGCTTTTCGTTTTTGATTGATTTCTTTCCTGTGGTGAAGCTATTTAATTTAATATGACCCCACTTGTTGATTCTTGATGTTTTTTCTTGTGCAATCGGGGTTCTGTTCAGAAATTCCTTGCCTACCCTATGTCTTCAAGGGTTTTATCTATTTTATCTTCCAGTATATTAAATATTTGTATTTTAACATTTAGGTCTTTGAACTATTTTGACTTTATTTTAGTACAGTACATGGTAAGATACATAGGTCTAAATTCAGTCTTGCATGTGGTAGCCAGTTTTCCTAACACTGTTTATTATAGAGGCTCTCTTTCCTCCAGTGTCTGTTTTTGGCCATTTGTCAAGCAAGGAGTACCCTCACTCACCTGATTTGAAGCTTGGAGAGACCATATGACTTGCTTTGGTCAGTAAAATGTGAGCAGCAGTGATGTGTAACTTGCATGTGGAAGGTTTAGGAATGGTGAAAGATTCTCCAAACTCTTTCTCTCATGGTAAATTTGTTGAGCTGGAGCTTGGGATAGTTTGAGTCCTGAGAGATGAAGGACAATAGAGCTGACTATTCTCTAAAGAAAATCAAAGAAAACTGATTAACTAAAGACACGGAGCAGTGAGCAAAACAGACCTCAAAAACCAAACCTTCCTAATGATACCCCTAATCTCTTCCTCCCCTTTTGTATATGGTATTCATAGCCTCTCCTTCTGGTTTGATTTCAGATGATGGCGAACTACAAGATGGGTGAAGATAGAGTAACAGTGTGTGTGTGCTTTAACTGTTTTTAAGATGATAATCAGAATAAGAACAGACTGAAAAAAAAAGAATCAGAGTAAAGAACCATAAGATCCCAAGGATGTGTATCCAATTTGAAGACTGGTCAGTAAGCAAGATGGTTTAATGCTTATTTGGGGGGCATTGATAAGCTTCTAGCTAAGTATCAGTCAAGCCTATTTACAATACACAGGAATCAAAACACAAAGATCTTGTCACAAGATGATGACAATTGAAAGTTTTTAAGTTTATAAATGCATTCTTTTCTGATCATATCTATTTCTGATATGTATTTTTATATATGTAAAGAAAAATATTTTCAATGTTTGTATTATACTATGTATAGTGTTTTACATATTTTCTAACTTTCCTTTTTCCCTTACTACTGTATTACTTATGCATTTAAATATTCTTTTCCCACATAGAAACAACATGAAATATTTATTATACAGACACACTAAAGAGAGTATACTCTATACACTGCTTTACACTGGAATTTTTTCATTTGCTATATTGTGAACATCTTTTTGTGTTATTAACTATTGTTCTAGGGCATCATTTTAAATAATTGCTGTGCTTTATCATATAAGCATTATTTAACTAATTCTCAGTTGTAGGAAACTTATGGCTTAATATTTGTGCATAAACATGGTTTTTTTAAAGACTAAATTACTAGAAGTGGACTAGCTGAGTCAAAGTGAGTACATCATTTTAAGGATTTTTGTGTTTCCAAACTACCCTCATGAGTTATTCCAATATATACTCTCACTCACAGTATATTGGAGTTACTTTTTCCCCTCAACCTTTCCCGTCCCGACAAAATGGACGAAGTCTTGTCCAACAAATATTAAATTTTGTCTCATTTTAATTTAAATGTCTTCTATCTATAGCAATGGATACAATTGGTTATTGTTCTGCACTTCCCATTGTGAATCCAAGGTCTTTGGGTTTGGGTGCTGCCTGGCTGAGCGCTTCACAGGGCTCCTCAGTACAGCCCTAGGCCCTTTTCGAGGAGGATGGGCGACCCCTCATCTTGCTCTCTCCCCTGAGCTCAGCTACCAACCACCACAGTTGGTGAGCATGAGAATCCTTAAAACTCTACCAAAATAGCAGCATAGGGCACAGTTTGTTACAATACATGTTCCATATTTTCATTTCATAGAAAGCTTTCCTAAGGTCCTACACCAGTAATGGACAGATCTGAAACCGGAGCCCACATCTTTGAACTCTAAGCTGGTATCTTTTCAGGACCTCTGAAATCCAAGACAAATGAAAGTGGCCAGGGGCAGTGGAAACAACCTGCAGGCCTTTCTCCCCTGACAGATATTCAGATAACCATTTTTGACGACCTCAGAAAGGTTGAATCATTCTTTCAACACGTACTTATTAAGTACCTACTATGTACCTAGAAAGACAGTGTGCCTATATCAGTGAGCAAGAAACAAAAATTTCTGCCCCAATGGAGCTAATTATAAAGTGGCAAGCATTCCAGTTTCCCATAGCATAGTTCTGGGTTCATGTGTGGGTTCATGTGAATTCATTTGGGATCCCAGGTGCAGTACTTGCACTGTCTGTTCCTAAATGTTCCCATCTCTAAGTGGGGATAATGATCATAGCTAACAGATATAGTTGTAGGTTTAAATAAGATGAGATGATACATGTGAAAGCCCAGCATACATGATCAGTACTTGCAAATGTTGATCATGATCATTACTGCAATTCTTTCATGGAATCTCTACAGATGAAAGCATTTATATTCTTAATAAATAATAGCTAATATTATTGAGCATCTATAAATCAGCATGGACTTGGAAGCCTTACATCTGTTGGCTCTTTATGAAACAGCAGTGTTTTCTCAGCTTCCTTGATGGTGATAATCCTTTGGGATGTTTCTTAGAAAAATATTCCCAGATTCCCCAATCTCCAAGTCAGAGCTTGCTCCAGAGAGTTCTGGGAATCTATGTTGTTTTTATTGTGGTAAAATATGCAAACATAAATTTACCACTTTAACTACTTTTAAGTGTACAATTCAGTGGCATTACAACATTCACAGTGTTGTGGAATCATCCCCATTGCCCATTTCTGGAACTCTTCATGTTCTCAAACTGAGACTCTGCACCTGTTAAACATCAACTTTCCTTTCTCTCAGCCCCTGACAACCAACATTCTGTTTTCTGTCTCTATGAATTTCATTCTTCTAGGTATCTAATATAAGTGCCATCTTACAGTACTTATCTTTTCATGTCTGGTTTATTTCACTCACCCTAGTGTCTTCCAGGTTCACCTGTGTTATAACATATGCCAGAATTTTCTTCCCTTTTGAGGCTGAATACTACTCCACTGCAGTAACTACCACATTCTGTTTAGTACCTGTTCATTAGTTGATACATATTTGGGCTATTTCTGCCCCTTGGCAGTCTTGCCTCTAACCCTACACATCACAGCAGCAGGAACCACTCATGACTTTTCTGGCTTTGTGGGGCAGGGGGCAATTCATCTGACAAGTTCAGACTCTTTTTGAGCACTTAGCACCTGTTGATCTCATGTGTGAATTGAATAATTCATCAGGTTTAGAGAAGGGTACTTAATTCCTATCCAACAATCCTTTCCCACATCACATGGGTATTATTGGCTGAAACAATTCCCTACATGATGCCATGACACGGGCCAAGCCTGAAGATGGCTCTTCGTCCGTTCCCTACTCTCTTTTTCCTCCATGGAATAGGTGATCCATAAACTATCAGTCCACATTCCATAGACTGTGTCTGTTCAACAAAGATTGTAGACCCTGGATGGCACAGCCCCAGGAGACAGTTATATTATGTATCCTTCTTCCTTGTTCCCTTTCTGTGCATGCCCTGTTCACGAGACAATCATGCTACATTCAGCCTAGGCCACATACCACTATTGTTACCCCACCTTCTCTTCCTGTTTGCCTTACGCTATAAATAAAGAGCATGCTGGACCCTAGGTGGCCATTAGCTCAATGGGCTATGATTTCACCTGGTCCCAGCTTTCAAGCATAATTTTGATACGTATCCTTCTTTCTTGTTGTTTTTCATCTTTCTTCATCTCTCACCGCTCTCCCCAGCTTGGGACCCTACACTGTGTGGGTCGTGGCAATGCTAGGCTCCATGCCTTGCTCTGTTCTTGGAGCTGTGGGACACTCTTGGGCATATGGCTCAAAAGCCATGTTGGCCATGGCTCTGACAACCTGAGCTCTGCTATGGTTTTCTGTAGCTCCATGACCCTTTATTTTGGGTGCTGTTCATAATGAAGCCACAGACAAGTAATAGCTGAACTGGGTGTATGGTCACCCTATCTGCAGGATAATTTCATCTAAACATTTTCTGGGTTATGGCTGCTGCCTGAAGAAGAGTCAACACTTTTAATCAATGCAAACATGTAGCTGAGGCTGCTGCGGTAACCCCTAGCATACCAGTGCTCGTCAGCACACCTTACCCCTGTTGCTCTGGCCCTTTGGAGTTCTGATAGCAATCACTGTCCTATCATATGACGAGGTGCTGGCCCTTGAGGATGCATGAGGTGGGAGACCTTCCAGCTCTCTCCTGGTTTTTGCAGTGGAGGAGGCAGCTAGAGACCTGGTTCTTGCCTGGGAAGGAAAAAGTCAGAAATACTGTGATCTTCCTATGAAGGCCTGCCTCTAGCATAGTTTTTCCCCTCTATATCTCTACTCCAGGTATAGGAGAAGAAAAGCTCTCCTTCATCTGGTTTTCTTTCACCTTTTTAGTACTATAAATGAAACCAAACCATCCTCTAGAGATTGCTAGTTACCCCCTGGCCCTCAAGTACTATAAACAGAAGTTGGAGCTGACCCAAATGCACCATAGGAGAGATAGTATTTCTCAGCCTCCTGCACAGCTCTGGGTTGCCATGCTAGATAAGAGTGAAAGGACCATGCAAACCCATTCCTCTCACATTTTCCTACTGACTGAGTAAGGATACTTTATTTTGAGCCACCTTTGACCATGCAGGCAAGAGCAATGGCCTAGGGAAGGAGACAGCAGTGAGCTGGTTGGAGCCTGGACCCCTGGATGCTCACGTGGTGCAGAGGCGTCTACCCAGATCATTGTTCTCTGCATTGTTATATCAGAGAGAAAGAAATGCGTATTCTTTCTTTCTTTTTTTTTTGGTACTGGAGATCAAACTCAGGATCTTGTGCTTGGGAGGCAGGTGCAGTGCCCCTGAGCTAAATCCCAGGCCCCAGAAACACGTATTCTTAACTGTGTTATGAAGCCAAATAGATTCTGTAATATAAAACCTTCCAATTGAAGAGAAAAGGGAAAAAATGGGAGGGAAGAGAAGGTCTGCAAAGAGAGGGAGAGAAATAGAAATGAAGACGCAGATAAAGGAAAAAACTGGGCAGGCAGATATTTTTTCTCATCCCAACCCCAAAAGCACTCTCAGGCTTAGCCTTGTACCCAGAGATTGGAACATCACACTAACCTTTCTATTGATCATTATATAAATGTTTGATAAAGAAACATACATGGTATTCATGAGAAGAATATGTCTTTGTCCTGAAAGCCCTGATAAAATGCTGCAGTATGTTACTGTGAAAGTAATTAAGAATAAGATTGAGTATCTAAAGTTGTCTTTCCAAATATTATATAAGTGACTTCTAATTATCCATCTTCATTTTATATTTTGGGAAAATGACACCTATTCCAACAATGATTTATGAAATGAAATTTTGGGTAATGTAATCTGTTTTACCATCAATCTTACCTGAATGCACCTAGAAAAATAAATGGACCAAGATATATCCTGTACTTCACATCAAATATAAATGATTTAGAGATTATTCCTAAAAAAAAAATTCTGTTCACTGGCTACCATCACATGAGGTACTGGCCCCTCATTGCACGTGGATGGTCACCTTGGCTCTCACAGAGTGGCAGTCTAATACCCTGGTGGCCATAGGGAGCTGTGCCTTCTAGGGTTCACTCCCTCTCTGGTCCTCTCCTCTGATCTGAGCTGGTTCTGTGGTTTGACTAAGTCAATAGAGTGTGGCAGAAGACACGTGGTGGTATTTCCCACTTCAGCCAGAAGGCTTGGTAGTTCCGCCTATGAACTGTTGGAAGCCCTGAGCAGCCATATGAGAGTGCCAGCCCCTGTGCTGGAGAGACCGTGAGGAGAGGGAGAACCCAGCAGCCCAGCTCCCTGACTAAACCCAGCCCCAGCAAGCCCACCACAGAATGTAATTATAGAAGTGTGACCAGCATGCCCTGCAGAAACACAGCAGTCTATATTGCACACGTGTAAACTATGTCATGACGGTTGTTTTAAGTCAATATGTCTTGGGATGTGTACACATTGTAATAATAAGTGAAGCACTAGGCTTCCTTTTTCCCTCCCTTTTTTTGTTCCTCTTTCTTTTCTTTTTTCCCTCCCTTCTTTTTCATTTTTTTTCTTGTGGTACTGGGAATTAAACATAAGGAGTTTGCACTAAGGGACATTCCTAGCCCCATAACTTTTATTTTTTATTTTGAGATAGGGTCTTGCTAAGTCACTAAGTCACCCAGGCTGGGCTCAAACTTGCAATCTTCCTGTCTCAGCCTCCCAGAGCTCTGGGATTACAGGCATGTGCTACCAAACCTGGCTAGCGCTAAGCTTTCCTGAAACTTACAGAGCTCCTACTTATGGTTGGAGTGGAATTTTCTCATATTTCCATTTGCCACATTATGTTGTGTTCTAAGTTTATAAGCAGTTAGAGTTGCCATATGTTTGTGATTGTGTGGGTTGTGGATTAGCTTGTTAAATAAAGCAGGATGGCAAAGCCATCTATATTACCCTGCTTTTGGTGTTTGTATATGGAGCTTCAAGCCTGGGGAGGCTTGGAGCTGCTCTGCTCCCTGAGTGGGGACCAGGCTGTGCACCATCAAAGATCTCTATTCACTTTACTTATTCAGTGATCCAAAGCACAGGTCTGAGTCAGAGGAGCTGGTCTCCAGGGAAAATTCTTTTCCTTACCATTCACATCACAACTGGAAAGAGAAATGTTCCAATACACTGTGCGAATAAATGGACCAAAGTGACATGGGATACACGTTGTCGAACTTTGTAATCTTACCCTTCATTAAATATTCAACACAATTATTTGATCTCTTCCTTTTCTCAGCTTCCCTCTTCTTCCTCCACACTCTTCCTTCATTTCTCTCACCCACCTCTCTCCCCTGACATTTCATCCACCTTCTAGGAAGTGCTGAGCTGACTCAAAATCACTTTTGTGTCAGGGGTGCAGCCAAGGGGATTTCTAGACATGCATTTAGAGAATAAAGGTATCAACTGGTTTCTTTGAGTCCTTTATGGACCCCTTATGGGAAGTGCAATTGTAGGTTCATGGGATTGAAGCAACCATGGCCTTGAGATGTGTGTACCACTGTGTGACTATTCCAGGCTACACCTTGACAATAAGTGATGAACCTGATGGTAGGAGAAAAGATGAGGTGCTCAGCCGAATCCATGCCAGAAAGTCATGGGGTCCCTAGACAGGTGCTCTGTGAGCATGTGGGCTGTCTCTGACAGCATGGCCAACTAGCACCTCAGTGGGCACCTCCCGCGATGTCCAACGTGATGATTACTCAGGCCAGCCCATTTGAGCCTGTGGATCTTCACAGATACTGAACAGTGCAAGGCCTCTTGAATTATGACCACATCCAAAATATATGCCTGGGATAATAGTGTGGGAACTCTATGGTGGGAGATGCAAAATAGAAGTAATGATAATAACATTTTTATATTATTATAAAGTACTTTTGATTGAGAAAATGTAAGTTAAGTGAGCTCTATATTGCCTCATTTTTGTTTATTTTTATTGTATATATTTAGGACACACAACATAATTTTTTTCTCCATTAAGTTTATTGGTACATTTTGGGTAAACAATACAGTTACATTCATCATTGGGATCTTGTACCTTTACATGATGCATCTGTAATGTTTTAATATACATTTCTGAAATGTTCATCATATCACATAGTTACCTGTCTTCTGGGGGGCAAGAGCACCTAAAATCTATTATTTTGGCCACCCCACAGTATGATGCAGTATTATTAACTTAGTCCTCATGTGGTACATTAGATCTCTAGACTTACTTATCCTATATATCTGTATCTTGCAGCATTCTTCACAATAGTCAAGATATGGAACAAGCAAAGTGTCCCCTGATGAATGGACAAATAAAGAAACAGTGGTGAAAAAGAAAAAAAAGAAACAGTGATGTATGTATACAGTAAAAATTATTCAGACTTAAGAAAGGAGATCCTGCCAGGAATACTAGTATATACCTATAATCCCAGATACCCAAGAGGCTGAAGCAGGAGGATCAAGGCCAACCTGGGCAATTTAGTGAGATTCTGTCTTGGAATAAAAAGGACTGAGTTTGTAGTTCAATGGTAGAGCACCCCAGGTTGGATCCCCTGTACTGGACTAAAAAAGGAAACCCTTTTCACTTGCCACAACATGGATGGACCTGGAGAACATCATGCTAAGAAAGAAAAAAATTCTGCGTGATCCCATATATATGTGGAATCTACACACAAAAAGTTGAATACACAGAGGTAGAGAACAAAATCATGGTTGCTAGAGGAAGAGTGAGAAGGGTGGGAGGAAATGGGGAGATGTAGGTCAGAGGATATTTTATTTAAGCACTCATAATATATACTTTTGATTGAGCAACAATGAGATGTGCTAAGCACTCCCTCTATATGATCTCATGTAATCAGTACAGCAACCCTATTCAACAGTTGATATCTATTTTTGCAGATGAAGCATCCAAAGTGAGAGTTTAAATGATTTTCTCAAGCTAGTGGGCAGCCAAGCTGAGAATCAAACTGAATACAGTGAGGCACAAGCTTACATTTCTTCCTGCCATCCTGCTCTGCCCTCAGGGTATTAGCATCACTACAATATGAGGCTCCACAGGAGAGGCAGGTGTTCAGTCACCCTCTTCTACATTTGCTGCTCAGGGTCACCTCTGTCTGGCACTGCTACAGAGAAAAGCCTCTGGATGGCTCCACCACTGTCCTTGAATTCTGCCTTTAATTTTGAGAAATTCTAGAATAAAGTAAGGTTAGTACTGACTCACTTTACATGGATTGTCTGGTAAAAAAAATTAGAGATCTTAGATACTTCTACAAGGAAGAGCAAGTCTGTGTGTACTCCACAAGGAATATAGCCCATAACTAGGTTGGTGTGCTGGGGCTGGGCTGGGCTGAGGACCAGCCTCTTCCCATCTTTGCTCAGGTGCTCCTCCAGAGTCCTCCATGATGCCAAGAAAGAATCAAGCCCGGGGTGCCTGATTTGAGATTTGAAGGGCATTTTTAGTGTCTTCAAAATACTTCATAAAACTTCAAGGTGAATTCATACCCTTCTTATAGTTGAGGCCATGAGAATAATCTAAGCTCAACAGAGGCAGCCACCATGCTGTTTGAATTTCCTTTATCCTGCAGTGATGACAAGTTTTTGTGTAGGAAGATAGCATACTCTCCCCTTGACCACTTCTGTAGGAGCTCCAGGGGAGGATGGCTTTGGTGCTGGCTTGGCACAGCAGGTAAGGAGAGTCAGCTAGTTGGATCCTGACAGCTGCTAAATGTCCTGTCCAGTAATATGCTGCAAATGCTTTGCAAGTTGATGTCAGTATAATTTTCTCTCCATGCTCTTCACAAGTCTGGCCTTTGGGAAGAATCCAGCAGGGAAGTAAGAACAGAGAGAAGGGAGGGGAGTACAGAGGGAGGTTATTTTATTCACTTTGTGATGGAGATATTAGGTCATGAATGACATTCTGGATGGGAAGGCAAATGTAATATTTATCTATTTATGCTTTTTCTCAATATGTGTAGGATAAACATATTCATATACCTACCAGCATAATTTACTGAGAAAGACTGGGCTGCCACAGTCCCCGGACACCTATGAGAAGAAATTTCTCCAGTGGTTGTCCATTTCAGTGCTTTGATATTGTGCTCAAGTGAAACCGGGGAAATGAACCAGATTGGGACCTCCTAGGAGCCCTTGATATTGGTGATTTTTGCATCAGTGGCAGCAATGGGGCATATTGGCCTTGAAGCCAGAACATCTAGACTTACACAAGTCTCATAGCCTCTTCAGGTTACCCCTTCTTCATCTCTGAACTGATGACTACCAAAGATGGTAATAGAAATGACCTTTCTCTCCCAAGGAAGCTGTGAATATTAAATAAATTAATGTCTGGAAATGCTTCATCAGCTTGAAAGCCCTCTGCAAATGTAAGCCTTAAATGCTTTTACATATGAGGGGCTGTGTCCCAACAGTGCCTAACAGAATGCCACACACAGTGGATACTGTCAGTATAAATGCTTTTATAATGTTATTTTATAGCTATGTACGTAAAAGGCACAGGTATTATTTAAGGGCAGGACATATTTTTAAACGTTTTTCTTTGTATCTGATAAAACTGTGAACAATATTTCTTTCAAAAAGTAAAATAAGGGCCAGGGATTTAGCTCAATGGCACTGCACCTGCCTCTCAAGTGCAAGGTCCTGAGTTCGATCCCAGGCACCAAAAAAAAAAAAAAAAGGTAAAATAAAATAAATCCCAGAAAATAGCAAAGAAGGAAACTGTGCTAATACGTCCATCCATCCATTCATCCAATAACACTTCTGTATACAATTTCTGGGGTTCACCACCCCTTCTAACTCCCATGCTAGCTTAAGAAAATGCCTGTCCTAGAGAAATACAAGATTCACCTCTCCAAATGCAAGCCTAGGAGAAATAGATTGTGTAGAGAAAATGAGTACAATGATGATGTTTAGCATCTGCCTGAGAAAATCCCTAGGGGAAGCATCCCTGGGAGACTAATGTACTCACACAATGCTCTTGACAAAATAGTCTATGTCTGATTGCAACTGGCCTAGATTAAAATGTGCTTTGGCTAAAGAATGAGTCTATCCCACATATGTAGCCAACCTTGAGCTCACTGAAGCTTTTGTGTGAAAAGTCGTGGTCAGGATACCTGAATCCTCCAGGCTCCACAAAGGGCTGCTATCCGGTGACTGCTAGGAGGTCCCCTTACTGTAGGGTGAGGCTCCTCCAGAATGCTTGGGTGCCTGCCCATAGCCCGGCTTATCAGGGCATCTGCAGGCCCCTGCCAAGGGCCCTGGCTGTATTTGCCTTGGCCCATTTCGGGGGACTGGATTTTACCCTGAGCAACACGCGATTTTTGGCTGACAGGTGTCTGCTAAGCAGGATTTCATTTTGTACTCAGAGAATTCAGCACCAGGGCCAGCTCAGCCAACGTGGAAATGCAATAATTCACACCAAAGGAAGTCAAACAGAAAGAGACCATGTCCAGAGACGGGAAATGAAAAGGAAAAGAAATAACTGAGCAGGTAAAGCAGATTGTCACATTTTCCCCATTCAGCTGAATCCTTCCATGGAAGAGCATAGAACATTTTTGCACCAAATTGTTTGCAAGGTCAGCCAGGCCCTTTGCTTTTGAGCTCACAGCGATCTACCCTCCATCTTCAGATAGACTATGTAGCCCCCTGGTTATTGGATGTGAGTTTCCCCCCATGAGATACGCGCAGCCAGCCAGACGGCGCTCGCTGCTATTGCAGAGATCGGAGCCTTCTGGAAGGCAGATGGCTCAGGCCCTGGATGTCGGCTCCTCTACCCCCAGCTAGATCAAGTGGCAGCAGCGAAGGCAGCTGGAAGACACCCACGGAGAGAAACCGAGCACCATGTTCAGAAAGATCCACTCCATCTTTAGCTCCAGCCCGCAGAAGAAGGCGGCGGCCGAAAGCCCCTACTACACCGGAGCCGGCTCAGGGGTAAGGCTGATTCGTAGCAGCTCCATGTATGTGGTCGGGGACCATGGCGAGAAATTCAGCGAGTCATTAAAGAAATACAAGAGCACGAGCAGCATGGACACCAGCCTGTACTACCTGCCTCAGGAAGAGGACCGCGCTTGGATGTACTCGCGCACCCAGGACTGCCTGCAGTATCTCCAGGAGCTGCTAGCCCTGCGCAGAAAATACCTCAGCAGCCTGGGCGACCTCAAGCCACACCGTGCCTCTCAGGGCATCTCTTCAACCTCCTCCAAATCCTCCAAGGGAGGGAAAAAGCCCTGTGGCCAGTCCATCCCCAAAGAAATAAAGGTAAGTGCAGCTGAGCAGAGCAGTTTAGATGGGGTTTCTTCTCAGAGCCGTGGACACCCCTTTGAAATATTCTTGCCATCTGTGCAGGCTTAATGAATCTGACAGACTCCCAGCAAGGGGGTCAGTAATCCTCATGGACTTTCCGTGGGTGTCTCTAGTGGAATAAGCTGATTCCACTCTTAGTTTTTAATGCTGAAGGACATAAAGAGGAGCACTTAGTGGTGTCCACCAAGGAGCCTGGTGGGACAGGCTTAAGCTTTGGTGGTGGGCGCTACTGAGTTGGCATCACTTTTTACTCTCTGACTTTATAGATGAGATAATGCTTACATGGAATTTGGGTGGTGGCAACTAATTTCTCAACATATTATTGTTTCTGTAAAATGTATTATGATCACATCTAAAAATCCCAGGGAAAAGGAAATCTTTGAGGCCTAGGAGTGCACCTCAGTGGTAGAACATTTACCTATGTGCAAGCCTTAAGCCTCTGGGTTCAAATCCCAGCACTGCAAAAAAAAAAAAAAAAAAAAAAAAAAAAAGAAGGAGAAGGAGAAGAAAAAGAAGAAGAGGAAGAGGAAGAAGAAAAGGGGAAATCTTTGATTGTGATAGGTGATTTAAAATACTTCTGTGGCTACTTCCCCTCTAGCAGTACCTTCAACTGAGATGCTCCGACAGCTCAGTCTGTGGCTTGAGGAGATTGCAGATGGCTTTACTGGGTACTGGGGCTGTCAGCCAGACACAGCCATGTAATTAGTAAGAGCAATCACTTGCATTGTGTCATTGTTAATACTATCATAGTTTCATAAATATTATTTTTTGAGCATTCATATAATGCCAGTGCTGAAGGTGGAGAGGAACTCCCTTTTCACAGAAAGGTAAACTGAAGCTCAGTGACTCTGTCTCTGCCTACTGGCTATGTGACCACCCCCCATTCACTCTGTTGTTCTTTCCTTCATTTCCTCAGATTGGTTTTATTCCTAATGCCTGTGGTTTACATCTCCTTTGTCATTTATTTCCATTCCCCACTTTCCTGATGGCTAACTTGAAGGTGTTCAGAGCAGGCCTGCTTCCTACTTCCTCACTGGCCCTCAGTGTCCTGCAGCCTGTATCAGTCCTATTAATGTTGAATGACTGATTGGACTGCTATCAAATCTCAAGGGCTTGGCTTAACCAACTGGTTTCAACTGGCTGCATTTAATACCAGGTGGGAGCAGTTTAAATAATTATTCCCACTGCAAAAGTATGTCAGTGCTGGGGCCTGTAGGGAAGGCTCCTAGTTTTGGGTCCCAGGGATGACCCTACCTAAACCTTGATCTCAGACTTCTGGCCTCCAGAATTGTCTTGCTTGAAGCCACCTAGCATGTGGAACTTTATTATAGAATCCCTAGGAAATGTGGACTTCTTCTGTAGAATTAGCCTCTTTTTCTCTTCTCCAGTCTTAGTGCAAAGCCATCTCGGTTGTCACACCCTAGTACATGAAGTTTGTTAAAATGTGTTAGGGAGGTGTGAGGCAGTGTTGCAGTGAACCTGGTAAACTTGATGAAGAAACAGTATCTTTTCCATTTTTCTACCCTGGAACATAGCAATGGACCCCATTGGTCATTTGCAGGTGCTTTGTAACCTTTGAAGGTCTGATGTCTTTGGTGCCATAGGTAGGGAAGAACAGGGTTTCCTGAAGAGTGAGCCATGTTCTCTGGAGCCGCAGGGCACCATGGCAGCCTCTCCTTCCCCCTCCAAATGTTACCCCCTTGCCAGGCCACAGAACCCAAGTTTCCTTGTCTCTTCTTCTTTCAGAGGCAAGATAGTGGCTTTTTAACTATTTTGATTAAGACCAACAATAGTAAGAAATATATTTTATAAATTGACCCAGTTTACCCCAATGTATAACCAAAAGTTTCATAAAATAGACTTATTTCTGTTCCTTGCTTGGTACTCTGATGTTTTCCAAAACATTCTGTGCTATATTATTTTATTTTTAAATTCTGGTCATGACACACCCATTTAATTTCACAAGGCTGTACAGGATCAAGACTTGCAGTTTTTCATGCTCTGGGGTAAGGCATTTTAACAGACCCCAGTGAAATTCTAATGATGTCTAAGGCATTAAGGACCAGGGGGCCCGATGGTCTGTGACCCCAGCCCCTGGTGAAACCCTGAGCCAGGAAGGGCACCCGTGTGGGTCAAAGAGTAGAAGTGAGAACTGGAAGGAAAGTGCACCTGGAGTGGGTGGATCAAGTACCCCTGGAACCCTCTATGGTGAGAGTCCCAGCCCGGCCCTGTGATAATCTGCTCCTCCCTCAGAATGGGCCCTCATTACAAAAATGAATAAAAAACATTTTTTGCAACTTTAAAAATTAAAACAACAAAAATCCATACCTGAGGACTTTTGTGTGTTGGGCATGAGCTATTCTGGGACTTGTTATGGTTTAAATTTTGAAAGTCTCTTGTTCAGAGGTGGGGCCAGTGAGGTCAGGGGAGGCAGGTCACTGGGATGTATTCTTGTCATTGCCTCCTCTCTCTCTTTCTCTGTTTTCTGGCTGCCATGGAGTGAGCAGCTTTCCTCTGCTATGCCCCTTTGCCATGCCATTTCTGCCTTGGAGATGACCAACCATGAACTGAATCCTCTAAAGACCATGAGCCAAAATAAAACTCTCCTCCTTTAAGCTGTGGGTATCAGGTATTGTGTCCTAGCAAAGGGGAAGTGAGTATTATAAGACTAATTGAATGCTTAAATATTAGAATTTCCACAGGGCATAATGTATATGGTAGGAAGAAGCATATTTAGAATGGATCCTGTCCTGAAATGCAGTCTCTGAATCAACAGGGCAATATACCCCTCTGCTGTGGGCACTATGGGTGTTTCTACCAGTGAAGAGGAGTGGTCTACCATTTCCCCTGCTTATGTACCACAGTCTAGGCAAAATCAGGGACAATCAGCAGTTATCCTTGACTTTAAAATGCCCCCAAAACTGACATGCAGAGTATTATCCCCATTCTATCAATGAGAAAACTGGGACTCAGAGATATAAAGTGATTTATGTAAGACTATGCACCTGTCAAAGAGACAGCCAGGATTCAAACACAATTTGTATTGTTCTGTGATTTATTTTCTTGTCAATGTATCCACAGCATCTTCCCATTGGAAAACATATTTTCAGCTCACATAACATTCAAGATGTCAGCGTGTGCACAGGATGCATCTTGGAAACCTGGGCCAGGGAAAGTTGTCAGAGTGGGGCCTGCCCTGCTTCTGCTCATGGACTTGGTGCTGGGGATGTCCCCCAAGTGGAGCTGCATGACCCAAGCTGTCTTTGTCCAGAGAATTCTGGTTGAAAGGAAGTGACTGGAAGTCATGCTGTTAGCTGTCCCCTCTCCACAACCCATGGATAAAATCTTCTAACTCACATGGCTATCGCTGATTCCATTTCACTCTGGTTCTCCATAGCATGGAACTACTGAATTTGTACTACCTACTTTTGCACTCTCAACCTACCCTAAGAAAAGCGCTGGGCAATCAGTGCAGGTCCAGTTACCAGGGGTGCTTCATTATAGGTAGGCATTGAGTCCTCAAATCACTTCAATAAAGGGACTCCCCAGCTCATCCCATAAAGTATCAGAAATGAACCACACACCAGAATATTGAAGTAGCCACAGAGTTTGGAAAACCAGGAGAGAAACATCCAATGAAAATTAACACCTCTGAAAAGAACATGCAGCTCATGCGAGCTAATTTAGCTGCTATAGATGAGCTTAGATTTGGCTCTGTGAGTTGGACTTGTTTCAAAATTCTGATGATCTAAGGAGAATTAGACCCATTGCTTAGGAGAAGTGAACTTATTTCCTACCTTTGAATTCCAAAATTTCTCATATGGTTCTTGACATAGGGCATTTGTGTGATGTGGTTGTTAATGCCCTCAATAATATTTTGATAATCATTCATTGATACATTATTAACTCATTCATCAGTGCATTTTTATTGAGCACATGATGACCAAGACAAAGTCCCTGTCCTCATCAGGGAATCAGTCTCGAGAGAGTGACAGCAATAAACCAGTGCAGAGTTCTTAGTGGAGAGTCTCAGAGCCCCAGCTGTGATGGCCAAGGACACGGCCCTGAGGTGCATCTTGGTGAGTGTTGAAGGATAGCACCTGACTAAGCTGCTGCCAATCCCTCTGAGCTCAAGCAAGAATTCAGGTGCCCAGGGTATGGGCACCCTCTCACATCAGACTTTGTCGGTTTTCTCTAATGATGTGGTTCACCCTGGGACCAAAAAAAGGGTAAATAATTGTTCAGCTGTGTTTCTTCCTGTCCATCTCCCATCCATTCTAGTGTATTAAAAAGCCACGTGTCCCTCTGTGACTTGTTCTGGACCATGTCTGGGACAGGATGGGCTTCAGCCTCTTTCTTTTCCTTCTTCTTGCTCATTTCTTCAAGCTGTAGCCCCTCTTCTGCTGTGAGGGCCTCTGGAGTGTTCGATTCCTCTCTTTTTTCTTCTCCTCGTAAACATCACTTCTCTCAGCTTGGCTTTAAAAAAATAATACATATAATTTACCCTCATAAAATCAGTGGGCTTTTGTTGTTTTAAATTTTGAGACAGGGTCTTGCTAAGTTGCCAAGACTGAGCTAAAACTCACAATCCTCTTGCCCCAGCCTTCCAAGTGTTGGCATTACAGGGTGCACAGCCTCACTCAGCAACTCTGTGGCTTTGAGTCTATTCAGAGTTTTATAGCTGTCACTGCTCTTTAATTACATAATATTTTCATCATCCATTTCAACTTCTTTTTCTTCTTTCTTTCTTTTTAGTGTGGTGAAATGAATGTGCCTTTACCATTTTCAACCTGGCACTTCATAGTTTCTTTAAGTGAGTGCTTTTTAGTGTCCTCAGATTATGAGTGGTATATTACAGTTAATGAATTCTTCAGAAATTAAGTACCTTTCTTTGAATAATTTTGCAGCAATTTTTTAAAAAGTAAAAGTGGATAATACTAAGTATCTTTCAAATA